TGCAGGGGGATTCGCGACGACAAATAATCGGGGATGGACAAACCTCCCTTTAGCAAAACGTGGTTTGGTGAAAACGACCCGAGGCCCAAACCTGGCGGGCGCGAGCCTGGAAAATAACGGCCACGGCGCCCTCTCGAGAACCGCAAACGGACAATTCACGAATCGACGTGTCACTGTTGGGGTTTCTGTCCACCCCCGAAATAAACAATACTCAACAGATACTAAAAAAAGGTATAAATACTCACAAGAGAGACCCCGTATTTTTGGTGATTGAAACGATTTTGGGATATTCCCCCTGCAGAAGGACAGGCCCGACTGAAAGCCAGGCTCAGGAAAAACTCGGATCGGGCCAAGACGGTTATCGTGGCGGGCGCCGCGGCGTCTCTCGGGGCGTCCCCTGGGACGCTCCGAAAGCACCCGCGGCATGATGCATCCGCTCCGAAAGCATCCCGGTTCCCCCCTTGCCGTCGCTCGGACGTCAATTTTCCGTGCATGTTTCGGTTTCGTGCGTGTTGTTGTTGTTGTTGCCCGATGGTCCAGGATGGTCCTCGAGGGTCCTCGCCGAGAAACAAGTGCACACGTCCGAGCGATGCCAAGCCCCAGGCCTGCCCGCCTTGCCTTGGCCAAGGGCTCCCAACTTCGCGCTGCGCGCTGCGCGAAGCGCGAAGTGCGAACAACTTCGCGCTCTCCCGCCGCCTCCCAGGAGAGGAGAGGAGGATGAGGATGAATCCGAACCGCGGAGGGCGCGAAACGCTTAGCGCTAGGAAAAAAAATGAGCCGAAGCAGAGGACAAGAAGAGGAGGACGAGAAGAAGAGGCTGAGCCGAAGAGGATGAGATGAGATGAGATGAGATGAGACGACTCCCAGGAGGACAGTCCCAGGAGAGAGGGCCCAGCCCGCAAAACTTGTTGGGCAGGTGCACCATCGGGGGGAGATCTTGTGAGGCCGAGCGTGGTGACAAAGCCACGCACGGCGCTCGCGACAGGTGCACCCGCTCCGAAACCTTAAACCTGGCGGCTATTCTCGCGGGCTCGAACTCGCTCCATCAAGCGAGCCATTCGAGCTTCATACGAGATGGCACTGCCGACCGAGTACTCAACAACTGAAGTCGTCGCTCTGACATCCCTCGCACTAGCCACTGCGAGGCCGACACGTGGGGCAGGAATCGCTCGGTCGATCAACGCACGAATTCGGGGGTGCGGGGCGAGCCCTCTCCGAAAACGCGACAAAATCATTTTACCAGTGCAGGTGGAGGGGGCACAGGGCTTGCTCAACTTAATGGCCTTTTCCTGGCTCCGACCTCCACACTTCAGACACAACAGGGATCCCCGTCGAGCCTGAGTGCTCTCTTCTTCGGCACGGCACCGCACAGCACGCAACGGAGCAAGACGAGAGCCACTGACGGCGACGAGCTGATGTCCCGTCGAGTCAACCGTGAGAGGCTTCAAAAACGACGGGGTCCCAAGACAACTATTCAAAGGCAAGTTACGACACGATGGCGCAACTTTGAAACAGACTTCGCACTGCCAGCCAAGCTCCCCCAGACCCCAAGCGTGCCACCCCTCCCCCCGAGAGTTCCTGTGTCGGCGCAGCGCTGTGGGTCTCCGCCACCGCTGCGGCCTCTCCTCGAGAGAGCACGGGACGATTGCAGCAGCCAGCGCCACGAAATCGGCAGCCCGACTCCTCGCGAGGTCAAGCTTGGCCAAAACTCAAGCGACGGAGCAGGGTGTAAACTGGCGGCAAGTTTAGCATGGTGATCGGCGAAACGGTTCGCTTCGGCCCAGTGGCGCCCCTCGCCCGACAGACTGTCAATCTGCCCCTGGGACCGATGAACCTCGACGTGCCGAACCGAGATGACTTGGTGGCCTTCCAGGCCACGACCGAACTTCAGAATGCCAGCGGCCTGGTTGGGCGCGCGCAGCTGAGATTGAACAGGCTGCTGGAATCGCCGAATCGCAAGTATGCAGTCGCTGCCAGCCAGGCTCTCGCGGTCGGCGATCTGGCCAATCAAGCAAAGCGCAACACTTTCGGCGATGCTCGGCGTTTGCGGGAGGTTGCCAGCAACAGGGCCTCGAATTACTGCCACGGGCACATTGCACTCAGGAGACAGCACTGCAATTGCCCACGACGCGCGCTCAAGCTCCACTAAGCCTGGCCGTGTGCAGGAGCCGTCGGGGGCTACGTCCAATCGAGGGCCCTGAACGAGAGACGCCACGCCCTCAAACTCAACCGCCAACCCCTCCCCCTCCGGGCCCTCGAGGACCACTTTATCCGAGCAGGAAGGGGGGGGGGGCCCCCCCTCGTCGCACAGGAAAGCTCCTTGCACAAAGATGGGGTCGTCAGGCCCGATACCTGCACTGACGAATAGGGGGCTGACTTTAGCCTCAGTGCGGGCGGCGACAACGGCAGGCAGCACGCATTCATTCAAACAGTGCTTGATTGTCTGCCTCTGGCCGCACGCACAAAGGCCATCGCAAATAGCATACTCGGAGGCGTTCTGCGAACGTCGATTGTCGCTCCTCGATGGTCCATCCAGCTTATCGCGGACAAGACTCGCCAGCCCGCACGCCGCGCAGCTAGCACAGCTCGAGACAAGGGGCCACGGCTAGATGCCCAGTCGGTGACCTGAGAAGGCTTGGCTTCACGCCATAGCCTCAACAAACGAGCACGCACAGCGAACGGGTGTCTGCAGAACTCCGATTGCCACAACATTCTGCACCACTGGATGGCAGGCGCAATAGCGGATGCAGCGGCGCCATCACCGAGCAAGACAGTCTTGCTCGAAAGGCTCACACCACCATGCACAGGAAGTTGGCCTCGACCGACATCACGCCTGCACCTCAGCGACTCCGAGTTGCTGAGCCCGGCGACCTCACTGCCGTAAGTGGCCTCGGGCAAGGCGCCAGAGCGGATGACGCGGCCGATAGACTGCGCCTCGTGGCCAGTGATGGCCTTGCCGAAGCGCCTGATCTTCCGCATGCGCCTCAGCATGTGCACCTTGCGCTTGGCGCGCCTGGTGGGCACTCCCTGGTCGGCCCCCCTGCTGCCCTCGCTGGCGTCGGCGCCAACATAGACAGAGCTGCGCCTCGCAACGGAGGCAGGTAGGCCGAGCCTGGACACGATGCCCTGCGCAAGGGAAAGGGCGGTGCCGACAATCACTAGCTTGTCGTTGATGATCGCGTCGAGCTCAGTGACCGTCTCCCTGAACTCCAGCATTGCGTTGACCATCATGGAAGTAGTCGTGCTCACCGTGGTAGACGATGCCCGAATCGAGTTGTCGTCAGTGTAGCTCACAAACTGAATGAACGGCTGTCTGACAAGGAAGCTGTCACACTCCCTCACAGACCACACCTTGACCGAAACATCACAAAACACATGTCCAGCAGGGAGGCCGCATTCGGCACAAAGGGCCTGCTCCGCATGATGAACAGCTGACCTCAGCACACGTGGCGCACGCCACATGTTGCGCACCAATTTCAGGAAGGCCGTGGACGCGTTGAAACTGATGTACTTGTCGCGCAGCTTGGTCAAAGGAACGCGCTCGTAGTACTTGTTTAAACCGGCAACTGCGAGTGCGCCATGGTAGGCCTGCTTGCTGTCGGCCTCACCCTCAGCCGCCTGGGGCCACGCACAGTCGACGGAGGACCGCCCACGAGCAGCACCCCGGCACGGCCTGTCAATCTGCAGCTGCAACTCTCGAAGCACTGGCCGTCGCATCCGCTGTCAAATCCTGTAGAGCCCAGCGTAGAGCACCACCAACCGATTGCCAGTGGCAGACGTCTTGGGTAGCATCGGCGCAAACAACCAGCACAGCTGCCTCGGCGGTAGTCCCAAAGACTCCATCGCCTTGAACATCAGGGCGACCACCTCGAGGGCCTGACCCTCCAAGAGAAGGAGGTGACGGGGATGAAAATGATCAGGCGCTGCCGTGGTGTTGTGCGAGAACGATCGCGCAACTGCACCTATCTCGCCAAGATTCACCTTCGGCAACACCGTTCGGTCAGGAATCCATGCTGGCACTGGACGGGAACTTGACCACAACCTCCTGTGCAAGTCCACTTCGTGCCGAACAACATCGCGCACGTGAGCCGACACACCATGGGCCGTTGGGACCACCGTGGGCTGAGCAACGTCACGGCACTTCGTAGTGCGGCGGGGGAGGCGTGAGCCATTGGAAACGGCCATGGCACACCACTCCTTCCACTTCTGGCGGTCCTCCTGGGTTGCTCCGTTGACCGCGAGCTTGACGTCGGGCTCAATGTCCCCTAGGAGCTCGCGGCATGCCTCCCCCTCAAAGCCAGCCTGCACCATGCCGCGCGCCTGCTGAACAGATCGATCGAGGCGCGCGGCAAGGCCCTGCCCATGGTAGTTGGCCGTCGCGAAGTTGAGGATCTCCTCAGCAGCCAACGACAGGTCCGGCACGGACGGGTTGGCCACCGTCTTGCACTGCATGATGCTGAGGAGGGAAGACTGCAACCATTGCCAACCTCGGCCTCAGCCTGCAGGTCGGACGCGTCTTTGACGCATTGGTGACGTCGACCCACCGAGGTTGCAAGTACCGAGCGAAACCAAAAAGAACTCTGCGATCCTGATGACCCACAGCGTTCGCGATAGCCCCTGCGGCTGCGACAGCGAAGTGGCCCCGCGCCGCCGAGAGAAGGCCCCATCCAACTCCAGGGGGAGACTCAGGATCGCCACGCGACTGGACAGCAGCTTCGGCAACACACCGAGCGCTGGTGTAGGTGGGCGGCTGCACTTGCGGCCCAATGATGATCTGGGTGCCCATCTTTGGCGCCACCGTGTAGACCAGCCGCTTGACGTGCTCAGCATTACCTTTGAGGACAATATGAACAGGGCGATGGCCTCGCTTAGCCCACTTGACATCAATGCCGACACTGGCATACATCCTTATGGCCGCTGAGTTGAGGAAGAAAAATCGATGACAGACTGACCTGCACCTCCTCGAAACGTGACAGAAGACGAGCTCACAATCGAACAGCCAACGTGAGCGGGGAACTGGCTCGCCTCCAACTCGCCTGGGCACATGTTCCAATCACCGCCAATGACGACTGGACCGCCCAGTGCCTCAGCAGCGAGGCCCAACTCCTGCAACAGCCTGCCGTTGCGGCCAGCGGCGCCCTCACCAGTGCGCAGGTACACGTTAAAAGCATGCAGGCCGACAGGCAGCTCGGGTGCATCTACGAGAACATTCTGAACTCGGTTCGGGACGACCTCACGCACACCGATGGCAGGAGGACGAAGTCCGAGACGATCGCGCACGGCACCAGCAACACCTGCCGACGGCACAGAACCAGAAGTCGGCAGGCTCGGCAACGCCATAAGCCTCCAACCCCGCACACCGCACCATGAAGCCACAGCCTCGACGTGCTCGCTGATGTGCACGAACTCCTGCAGCAGCACCACGCTCGCCATCGTGCTGGCGAGGCGCTTCTTGACGGACGCCTTCTCGCCGCTGGCGTTGTAGGTCTCGATGCTGAACTCAGCGCCGACCGTCGGCCTGACCCCGCTCGGCGGCGCCCGCCCACGCCCAGGCAGCCCACAAACGTCAGGCCAGGCAGTCGAAGGACTACCCATGCCGCGCTCGCTTGGCCGCCAGCTCGGACCACATAGTGTCGAAGGCGGACATGAAGTCATCGATGCTGCCTTCGCTCCGAGCATGATAGAGTGCCCGCTTCTGCACCTCCGTGGGGGCAGGCATAGCCTCATCAGCAGCATCAGCAGCAGGAGGAACAGTCCCAGCGCTGGCGGCACGGGCAGCAGCCTTGCTGGCGACCGCCGACTTGAGCTTGACCCATGCCTCAGACTTGAGGAGCGCGACGAGGTCGGGCTGGTCGGCCACGTCGTCCTCAACCAGGTCGATGTCGGCCGCAACGGTGGTGACGTTCTTGGCCGACTCGCTGAACGCCGCGCCCAGCGCCGCCACCTCCAACCTCTTCGCTGCGATGGTCTCCTTGCGCGTCGCGATGCCCTTGGCCAGCTCCTCAAGCTGGCGCTCCTTCTCACCCGACTCCTTCTCCAACTTCTCCAGGCCGTTCCGCGCCCGCTGCAAATCCTGCTGCGTGCGCCGATGTAGGGCCTGGGGAGACAATAGCGCACGCTTCTCCGTACGCAGCGTCTCCAACTGCTTCTCGATCGGACCCCGAAGATCCTTGTTGCGCTCGTCGGCGGGTGGAAGCTTCGCGAGGCCCCCCTCGAGCTGCGTGATCCGTTCGCCGAGCTTGGCACTCTGCGACTTCTTATCAGGGTCAGCGCCGTCTGCGGCCTCGCGCCACGGCGCTGTGCCGCCAGGTTTGGGCCACTCCTTGTCGGGCGGCGCCAAGCGCTTCTCGATGGCCTGCATCCACTCCGCAAGCTGCTTGGGGATGCCCTGCGTCGCCGGGCCTCCTTGCTTGAAGCCCGCCTTCTTGCCGCCGCCTCCGCCAGCATCGGCCTCCTTGTGTTTCTGGCGAGCACGCGAGAGGATGGCAGCAGGCGCGTCGCGGCCGCAGAGGCACTGGATGCGGCACGCCCAGTTCTCCGCGCGCCCGCATTGCCCGCAGCACCAGTGGGGCTTGCGCGGGCCTCGAAGCACAGTGACCGCTGGCGGCTGCGGCACCATGCCTGGGATGAGAGTGACGCGCCGAGGTGGGGCGGACCACCTCGGCGCTCGCCCTGGGGCTGACCAGGGGAAGGGCTGCAAACTGGCCGCGGACTAGCGGTATCCAAGCGTTCCCCTGTGGAACAAAACATCTTGAGCCAAAATGGCTACGGCTGAGCCGAAGAGGAGAAGGAGGAGGCTGAGAAGAGGCGGGCCGAGCCGCGGCAAGCGCGGTGCGCGAGGAACTTCGCGCCCTCGAGGACGCCTTCGCTGGCCCCTATTGCGCCCCGAAGCTGGAAAACTGCCATGACCCCCCCCATCTAGGCGGCCGTGTGGCTTCTGGGTCACCGCTCGGCCTCCTGGCGGCCGTTCGGGATGATCCGGGCACCCTCGGAACGCCCCCGGCGAGGCGCAGCTGCCAGAACGCGCCCCAGAGGGCGCCCTCGCTGGCCCCGAGGAGGCGACCCCCAGCTGAGCCGCGGGGGCCGAGGAGGAGGAGGAGGAGGAGGAGGAGGAGGAGGAGGAGGAGGAGGTAGGAGGGGGTCGAGCACAGCTCGGGCAGCGCCCCCCGCGCACGCCGCACGGGGCGCGCGCCCGCGCGCCCGCGCCCGCGGCGGCTCGCGAGGGAGCCGCACCCTCGGCGGGCGGCCCGCTGCGGAGCGCCGTCGGGGGTCGGGGGGGGTCCTCCCTCCTCCTCCTCCCTCCTCCTCCTCCTTCCTCCTCCTCCTCCTCCTCCTCTCCGTGCGTCCTCGTCCTCCTCCCCTCCTCCTCCTCCTCCCCTCCTCGTCCTCGTCCTCGTCCTCCTCGTCCTGCTCCTCGTCCTCCTCCTCCTCTCCTCCCCCTCCCTCCTCCTCCTCCTCCTCCTCCTCCTCCTCATGTTCCTTCTCCTCATCTTCCTCCTCCTCGTCCTCGTGCTCTCCTCCCTCGTCGTCTCCTCCTCCTCCCTCGTCTTCCTTCTCCTCATCCTCCTCCTCCTCCTCGTCTTCCTCCTCCTCCTCCTCCTCCTCCTCCTCCTCGTCCTCCTCCTCCTCCTCCCCTGGGCGCCTGGGAGGCCAGGGGCTCCCAGGCGTGCGCGCCCAGCCGCGCACGCGTCCAGCAATCGGTCAGACAGCGGACGAAAGAGCGCCCACAGGCAGAAGCAGCGGCGCTCCGCGCGGACCTCTGGGGTCCGCGCGGGACCCCCCTCGCCGGCGCGCGGAGCGCGCCGAAGGGGCGCCGCCGAAGGCGCCGCCAGGGGGGGGGCCAGCGCGGATCCGAGAAGCCCGCGCGGAGCGCCAGAAATTTATGCTCATGGGCGGGGCGCACCCGCGGCAAGGGGCGGGGCGCATCCGTGGCAGACCGAGGCACGGGGGCGCAGGCGGGGCCGCGCACGCAGACGCGCCGCCCCCCACCCGCGGGGCCGCACCCACGCCGCGCGAGCTCCCGCGCGCGTGCGCCACGTGAGCGCCCCCGCGCGCGCGCGCCTTCGCCCCGCTCCCCAGGGAGGGCGCCGCGGCGGCGCGCAGAGGTAACAACGACGGGAAGATCGGGACAAAATCGGATCGGGATAACTCGAAATCTCTGATAATCGGCAGGTTTGGAGGATGTATTGGGCGCCGCGGCCGCTCCAGAGCGTTCCGGAACGCTCTGAGAACGCTCCGGGACGCTCTGGAGCGATTTATCCCGATCCTAGCCTTGTTTTAGGAGGGGGGTGACTACGGGGACGGGGGGAAGGCGTCGCAGAGGGGAGCTGAATTCCTGGAAGGCCCCCGCCCTGCATCTGCAGACCAGGCCCGCGCTTCCTGAGAGACCGGGGTGCTCCCAAGACCCCCTCCCCCCTCCCCCTGCCCCCCTCTGCGCGTGGCCGATCCGTCCCGCTGCCGAGGGAGGGCGCCGCGGCGGCGCCCCCGCGCCGGCCACCCCCGCGAGAGGGCGCCCCCTGCGCATCGCTGAGGCGGCGGCGGCGGCTCTGGAGGCGGCGGCGGCAGCCTTGGGGCGCCCCCGCCCCCCTGCCGCAGTCGCCCGGCGCCCCCCCGGAGCCCCCGGAGGGAGCGGAAGGCGCCAAGAAGCCTGGAGCCTCCATCGACGGATCCGTCCTCGACGCTCGCCCTCGAGGGCGGCGACGACCCTGACGACGACGGCCGCCCCCCAAGGCGCCCCGTCATCTTGCCGCGGGCGCCCGGTGCACCTCGGGGTGACGGGCGGTTCGACGCCCCCGTCGGCACCCACGTCGTCCCTGCTCTCGCCTCATGCCGCCGCCTCCGTCGTTGCCGTCATCGCTTTTCCTCATCGTTTCCGCTGTCGTCGTCGTCGTCGTCGTCGTCGTCGTCGTCGTGACCTCATCGCTTCCGTCGTCATGCCCGGTTCCGTCTCCGCCGTCGCTGTCGGTGTTCGTCGTCGCTTCCGTTGTCGTCATCGTCGGTTTCGACATCGCCATCGTCTCTAGATTTGTCAAAGCAAACACACACACTAAGATTAAGTCGGGCCTGTCCCCAAACAGGGGGATCTTGGACGACATAATTAAAAATTCCCCAGAAAATACCCCCGAAATGCTCGACAGTATCAAACATTAGTCCACAGACTATGTTTTGACTAGTTTTGGATATCCCCTCTGTAGAGAGACAGGCCCGACTTAACACTAAGAGCAATATGTAAACAATCCATGCCCATCAGGAGCGAGCACCACGGCAAGCGGGCGAGAAAGTGCCAGACCAATCCAAATACCTATGTATATATAATAATAATAATACTAATAATATTGATATTGATAATAATAATATTAATAATGATAATAATAGTAATAATGATAATAATAATGATGATAATAATAATAATACTAATACTAATAATAAGAATGATACTAATAATAATAATAATAATAATAATAATAATACGCATAATAATAATAATGATAACAATAATAATATCAATAGTAATAATACTACGAATCAAAATAATAATAATAATATATATATATATATATCCAAAAAAAAAAAAAAAAGGGAAAAAAAAAAAAGAGAGGCGTGATTCCACCGCCGCTTTACTGTGGAAAAATTGCCAACCTTTCCTCCCTGAAGCCCGGGGGTCCCCCCCCCCCGAAAATCCCCCACCCCCTGCTGGAACCCCTCCCCCCCCCCCTCCACTCCCCCGGCAAAACCACTCCCCTCCCCGAACCCCTCCCCCCCCGCCCCTCGAGCCCCTCGAAAACCGGGGGGGTCACTAATTACAACCGGTTCCGAACCCCTTTCCCCCTTCCCCCCCCCCCCCCTCCGGATCCGGACGGAAAACCGGGGGTGGTTCACTACCGCACTCCGTACGACCCCCCCCCCCCTCGAAAACCGGAGGGGGATCACTACCGCCAGTTCGAACCCCTCCCCACCCCCCCATTCACCGCCAGCAAACGACTCCCGGTCCCTACCACCGTCCGCATCACATCCTCCACTGTTGTTCCCAGCGCCACTGTCCTCACCACCGCTGCCCCCGCTGTGTCCTCACCAGTTCCCCCACCACTGTCGCACTGTCCCCACTGTCCCCACCACTGTTCCCACCACGGTTCCACTCTCCCCACTGTCTCCACGGCCCCAACCACTGCCCGACTATCCCCACTGTCCCCACTGTCCCATTGACTCCGCCGCTGTCCCACTGAGCTGTCCCACTGTTCCCACCACTGCCCCCACTGTCCCCACCACTGTCCCCCTGTACCTCTGTCCCATTGTCCCACCGCCGTCCTCGCCACCGCCTTCACCACTGTCCCCACCACCATTGTACCCTCCACTGTCCCACTGTTTCCACCTCATTTCCACTGTGCCCACACCACTGTCCCCACCACCACTGCCCCCACCACTGTCCACTGTCCCCCCTGTTCCCACCATTGTCCCCACCACTGCCCACCACTACCGGCCCTCTACTGTCCCACTGTCCCACTGTCCCCACCACTGTCCCGCTGTCCCCTCACCACTGTCCCACCAACACCGTCCCCACCTCTGTCCGCACCCCCACTCGGTTTTCGAGGGGGGGGGGGGGGGTCGAACCGGTAGTGACACCCCCCCTTTTCATGATGAGCTGGGGGGGGGGGAGGGGGGAGGGGTTCGAACCGGTAGTGACCCCCCCGGTTTTCTGGAGGGGGGGGGGGAGGGGTTCGAACCGGTAGTGATCCCCCCGGTCTTCCGCCAGCAGCGGTAGAACACGCTCTTTCAAATATATATATATATATATATACATATAGTCCAACAGATGGGCTGCTTCTTCACCTACATCGGCACTCGCCGACAGTTGCGAATATTCCTACGAGTACGAGCTTTACAACAGTATAGTCCAACAGACGGGCTGTTTCTTCACCTATATCGGCACTCGCCAACAGTCGCGAATATGCATCCGAGCACGAGCTTTACAGCAGTAGCCTGCTCGGGACGCCCGTGCCAAGTGTGAACACGACGTGCGGCTGCCATTCGAGGACAGCGACGACGTACAAATGATGCACGGACCAGTTCATGTAAGACGGTGGCTCCTGCTTTCGGGGATGGACAGACCCCCCTTTAGTAAAACGTTGTTCAGTGAAAACGACCTGAGGCCCAAACCTGGCGGGCGCAGGCCTGGAAAATGACAGCCACGGCGCCCCCTCGAGAACCGCAAACGGACAATTCACTCATCGACGTGTCACTGTTGGGGTTTTTTGTCCCCCCCCCCCGATGTCTCCTGCAGCCGACAAGATCCATCAACTGTTGGAACGGCGCAGGAGGGCATCGCAAAGGAGACGCACGACTGGCATGTGCAAGCCCGAACTCCACCGGTTCCTCACGGGGCAGCCTCTGGTCGGAGAGCGAAGGGCAGGGAGAACGGCACGGGGTGTACACGTAGAACCCTTTTCTGGGCATCGCTCGGACGTCCACTCCCTGTGCTTTGTTTCGGTTTCGTGCGCGGTGTGTGTTGTGCCAAATGATCGAGGATGGTCCTCGATGGTCCTCGCCAAAAGAAAACTGCACACGTCTGAGCGATGCCAGGCATATGCATGTATATGTACACGCCATTGCGTAATAGTGGCCGACTTGTTGGCGACGTAGCCCGTGTCCCCTCTGGATGGGGCCCAGCATGGCGCGCCATGACGATTTGCCGCGAGCAAAGACACGAGGCAAAGCTTCTGATCTGCCATGGTTTTCCCTCCATGGATGCCTTC